TCAACAAAGGAGTGAGAGAACCAACCATTATTGATTATCGGTCATCACTGCTGATTATATTCTTGACAAGACTCGAGTGCTGTGAGTGTAGAGAGGAATAAGGAATTTCTCATAACATCTCACCTGGCTCGGTTGCTAAGGATTTTATCTGAATGTAGTGGGAGACTTAGGATTGATTCCAGCCATCTTCATGAAAGACTTGAGATCAAATCCTGTCACCACTCGCCAGAGGAGCTGCTCGCAGTAGTGCCTCTTGTATCAAAGACTTGTGGATATTCCCTCAATCTCATCTTTCAGATCTTGTTTGCGGGCTTTATTTCTGTTTCTTAATATCAGATTTGAAAAAAAAAATACACCGTTAAAATTGAATTATCCAAACAATCAGAATATATGCCACTAAATCACCATTATTTGATTTTTTTTTTAATAATATGAATGCTAGTTAGTTTCTTTAATTCCTTGTTGAGATCTCCTACAAGCAAAAACTCTATGCATGGCATCCAAGCATACATTGGGATTAGACCTGTTCATGGGCCGGGCCAGGCCGGGTTCGGGCCGGGCTTTCAGTTGTCACTAATGAAAATATACTAGGCCCGAGCCCGAGCCCGGCCCAACCAACGGGCCTATAACTTGGGCCCGAGCCCGGCCCTAGTAAAAAGCCCGAAACCCGAGCCCGAGCCCGAAGCCCAACCTAATTGAAAAAAAAAACAATTTTCCCTATTCAAATTAGAATTAAAAATTCAGATAGTATTTTTTTTCTATTTAAATGAACAATGGGCCTACAAGATAGTATTTTTCCCTTTCTTTTATATTTTAAAACACAATTTTACATTCTTAAATAAAAAAATTTATTCAAATGGACATAATCACATAACTAATTTTAAGTTTAATATTAGGTCGGGTCGGGCCGGGCTCGAGCCGGGCTATTTTGACAAAACCTGAGCCCGACTCGAATTTATTGCGGGCCGGGCTTTTTGGCCCGAATTTAAGCCCGCGGACCTATAAGCATGTTCAAGCCCGTCCGGGGGTCGGGCCACCCGGCCCATGAACATGTCTAATTGGGATTTACAGGGAGATGTTCCAAATGTGTGACTCAATGTCTATGTGGGCAGTGTGTGTAGAGTTGTTGGTTGCAGGAGATGGAGATCCCATCACTATTAGTGCAGGCTGTGCAGCTCCTCTAGACTCCAGATAACCCATCCCCTATACCATAAGGCCATTACATATTAACACCCATGAATCCTGGTGGTCATGACAAAGAAACTTAATCTGAAATAATCAAGCAAAGGAAATAGAACAACATTAGTAGTCAATAGTGGCCATACGGCCCATACATACATACATACATACATACACACACACACACACACACATATATATATATACATGTATATTAGGGGTGGAAACAAATCGAGCTTTTCACAAATTATTCGAGCTCGGTTCATGAAAAGCTCAATTCCACTCAATTTAAACCGAACTTTGAGTTGAGTTTGAACTCGATATATAGATCCATTTGCTAATCAAGCTGGGCTCAAACCCAATGAAACTCGGCTCATGAGGGTTACAAGCTTAATCGAGCCTAATATATATAATAAATAATTTTTATTATATGTATACATACCTACGTACAACATACATACATATATATAACAAATGATTTTTATTTATATATATAATAATATTTTTATTTTTTATGCATAATAAGAAATCATTTTTATAAGTTTTATTTTTTGTATGTAAAATAAAATTAATTTTTATATGTATACTTTTTATTTATATATATATGTATGCTAATAAATATTTTTATAATTCTTAATTTTTTGTATGTAAAATAAAAAATATTTATATATATAATTTTATTTCTTTTAGAAAGCTTGGCTCGCAATCGAATTCGAGCCGAGTCAAACTCGAACTTGTGAGCTTTTGAGCCGAACCAAATTCGAGCTCAAGTCTCTGGCTCAAATTGAGCTTGAGCCTGACATTATTTTGGCGAGCCAAACTCGAATAGCCAGGTATTCGGCTCGGCTTGACTCGAATCCACTCTTATCTCCTAACAAGACACTACAACAGTACATTGAGAACATCTCACATATATTTACATGTTACCATTCATGAGGAGGTGTTCTCAATGTATAGCTGTAGTGTCCTATGCTAGGGCAGATCTGAATTGAATTTTGGCGGCCCTGAATGTTTTCATTTGTGAATACAAGAAGTTGGAATTTTGTGGCTCCACAAGGGAAACTGAGCTCAGGCCCATTAGATTGGCCATGTGTAAGACCGGATGTCATTTCAAGATGTTGGCTATCTATACTGATGCAAAGTCCATTGCTGAGCACCTCAACAATACAAAGAACATCTTTGATCCCCTTCACCTTCGGGCCTTATTGAAAGACGTCGACAATATCTACAGAACATAACAAGTTAACCCACTCAGTCGCCACAAATTCAACAAGAGGCCCAATTCCTTCCTTCTCAACTAATCCAAGCCCACCMTTGAATTGGGTCGTTTCTAGCCACTTATGAGGCCTTGTTCCCCTTATTATAATGAAATGAGCTTGTACTGGCCCCTTTTTACTTTAATAAAAACACTAGCAGAGGGGCCTTGCTTCGTAGGGGCTGGAATGGAACCATCGACCTATTGATTCGGTCTTTGGTCAAAAACCGTTGAATCGATCAATGATCCATTAATCTGAGCAATCAAATCAGTGACCCGTTGACCCGTTTAATGGTTTTTGGCCATTTTTTATTTTTTTAATCGAGAACCATCCAGGCAACCGGTGTCGTTTTATCTTAATCTTGGTCCCTAGCCAAAAATCGTTAAATCGRTCAACGACCCATTGACCTAGGAAGTCAAACCATTGACCCGTTCAATGGTTTTTGGTCATTTTTTATTTTTTAAATTTTTATTATTAGAACGGGCCATCCTTTCGAACTAAACAGTYGAACCGTTGACCCGAAAACCAGTGGCCAGAATGGTTCTATTTTCAGGTTGTATGAATGCTCGAATGACATAACACATATGGTATTGCTTCATGGACCTCACACACTCAATTTTTTGCCTGTAATTTTTGTTGTCGGAATGGGTCGTCCGTTTTTTTTTTTTTTTAATTGGGAACCGTCCAGGCAACCAGTTACGTTTTACCTCAATCCCGGTCCCTAGCCAAAAACCATTGAACCGGTCAACGACCCATTGACTTGAGTGGTCAAACCATTAACTCGCTAACCCATTCAATGGTTTTTTGCTGTTTTTTTATATTTTTTTAATTTTTGTTGTCAGAACAGGTCATCCATTCAAACCAAATGGTCAAATCATCGACTCGAAAACCAGTGGCCATAACGGTTCCATTTTYGGGTAATATGAGTCACATGCTCRAATGACATAGCATGTATGATACTGCTCAATGGACCTCACACACTCAATATTTTGCTTGTAATTTTTATTGTCATAATGGGTTGTCCATTTGAACCGGATGATTGAACCGTCGATCCAAAAACCGGTTGCCAGAACGATTCCATTTTTGGGTCGTATGAGTCACACACTCGAATGACATAACATGTATGATAATGGACCTCACAAACTCAATTTTTTGCCTATAATTTTTGTTGTTAGAACGGACTGTCCGTTCGAACCGTCAACCCGAAAACCGGTGGCCATAATGATTTCGTAATTTTTTGCTTGTAATTTTTGTTGTCAGAATGGGCCATCCGTTAAAACCGTCGATTGTCAAAACGTTATTAACATTTATCAATAATAGTAAGTAATTATACTATTTAATTAAATAATCATTAATGATAGTTTTAATAATATTATTTAATTATTTTTAATATAACAGTAATTATTAAATTTATGAATAKGATTTATTAACAATATTCATTAAATTAATAATTACCAAAATTAAATTAAATTAACAGTATTTATCAATAATAGTCGGTAATTATAATATTTAATTAAATAATCAATAACAATACTTTTAATAACATTTTTAATTATTTTTAATATAACAATAATTACTAAATTTATTAACAGTATTTATAATTTTAATTTAAAGTAAAAGTAAAGTAAATATATTTTTATTAACAATATTTATAATAACAGTAATTATTAATTATAATCACTAATTATATATTTATTAAATTACTATAATAATAAATAATTATTAAAACTGGGTTACTAAATTTATTAACAGTACTTTTAATAACAATATTTATAATTTTAATTTAAAGTAAAATTGAAGTAAATATCTAGTTATTAATAATATATAACAGTAATTATTAATTATAATCACTAATTATATATTTATTAAATTAATGTAATAATCAATAATTATTATTACAGTAATTAAGATTATTATTATCTATAGGAAATGGGTGCTTGCACATGAGATCTACTTGCATGAGTAAATTCTATTTCCTGAATGCAAAGAGCACCCATTTCCTTATATATAATTTTTTCATTCATCCATTTCATCAAATACATTTCCATCCATCACTTTTCTAACGACTGCCTTGTAAAATTTTTATTTTGAATGTAAAGCAAGGTGCCAACCAACTGGTTGGTAAGGTCTCCTGCGGATCGCTGCAGAGACTTGGAATCGAATCTAACCTGCACCTGGGTTGGGGATGGACTACCCCCGAGTAAGACACCAAATGGATCCATCCATTTTGCCCACCCTACTTTATTTCTATGGGCGGCATCCTCAGTCTCTCCATTGTCATGAATTATCAAACAAAGAATAAACATTATTTTCAATAGGCAGACTCCCAAATCAGACCAGATGGAAAGGACTACAGTCACTACACCATACCTAACCAAACTATGCCGGCCAAAACACGAAAGGCCCCTATGAACTTGTGACCAAATAAGATGATTCAAGACCGAACTTAATCCGATTTCCTGTAAGAAGTCTGATGTCGTTTGTCTGTTCTGACTTCTGAGTCGAACTCGAGACATGGGAATAGGTGCCGTGACCAAAAAAAAAAAAAAACAAAGAGAACATGCATACATGGAATAATTGTGTTTATATTTTTTGCTTTGGTGCTGCTTTTTCAGTGCTACAAGTACTTATTGCAATTCTACAAAACTGAATAATTCCAACTCCAAAAATCTCTCCAATCACAGAAAAAGCGACGGAGGTATCACCCGCCACCAGTCCGGTAGCCTCCCCATTCCATGTGACACTAATTATTTGTCCTGTGTTTGGATGGTCCTTTTAAGTCCAATAAAAACATCATTTCCCGTCAGTCCTCGCTGCTAACATACCTGATGTCGCCCTTTGATATTTGCATCTGTCCCTTGTTTCCTCTGTTGTCGTTGTTCCGGTGTGTGCGGTCTGGTTGGCCTCTCTGAAATTAGCACAAAATATTAGCTCAGCATGATGCATATAATATAATATCCAATCACATATGGTTTCTAAAATCATGTTTAAGGGGCTCTGGGTTTCAGGAATGTGCATGGGATCGGCAGCTCAGTTGCTTTTGCTCTATGCTACAGACAGCAGGGCCCCTGAAAAACATTGGTATTACATTATATATTTTAAACGAACCCACCATTCCTGTGGCATGGAGAAAAGGAGTTCAGCTGTCTGTAAAAATCGAGTTCATATCGGCGCCCCACAGCACATCCCATCCGTGTATCGGAAACATCTCCCAATGCACGCTGAGATGCGCCCGTGGGGTGCACCCTGTGGCTGTGGGGCACTGATGTGATTTTATAAAAATCTCTCTATACAAAATGAAGATTGACGTAAGATTAGAGGTACGGAATATTTTTCAATATTAAAAAGATGCGGGCATTCTTTTCTTTGTAAACCCTGGTCCACTCAAATATACTTTCCTTTGATATCTGGCAACCTTTGAACCCTCTTTCACAACTCAAACGCTTATGAAACAAAACATAAACTTATTGTATCAGTAATACTATATAATTTATCTAACAAGGGCGGTAACATGTGTAAAAGGAAGACGACAGTTGCAACTGCTTAATCACTTGGTGACTTAACTGGGTTCACCTAGTTCTGTCCATTGGGAATAGAGAAACACCTAGTCAACACATTCAAATTAGCACAATGACAGATCGGGGGCATTATAGATAAAACAATTAGACTGCTTCAATTTCGATCCCTTTACAGAAGCCTCTCATGATTGATGTTGTATRGATGAATTAATCAATTACTATGTAGAGATAAAGCTTCAAGCAGCATATGTTCTAGGTATAAAGTAAGGAAACCACAGATCAAGAAGCCCATTCTAAGATGACGAAGCACCTTGATGTTGAGAGGCAGCAAGAATCGGACTGGAGTGATGATTCTGGTTTCAAGTTGGATAGCATGGAAAGTCTACCAGGCTTAAAGGAAATTGGAAAAGGTGGTAGGGGTAGAAAGATAGCAGTCTTGAGTCCCAAGCCAGGTTTTATTGTAGCTTGTTGGGGTTGCATGGTTGGTGGTTGAGTGATAGCTGTTTCATGGTGCAGCTTCAGTTTTGGGAGCATTTTTGGTCTTTTTTTGGTGTTGGTAGGTTGTGGAGGGGTGTATTTTCTGATTCTTTTAGCTTTGATGGTGGGGATTTGAGCTAGCTGGCTTTGTATGTGGGCTTGCTGAGCTCTGCTGTGCATTCTCCCTTCTTTTTCTGTTCTTTTAATAAATTCCTATACTTTACCTTCTCAAAAAAAAAAAAAAGATAAAAACCAATTACTATGAGATTTCAAAATCCTAATTACCTTTCTCAAGACAAATGCCAAATATAGGTAAGCTACGTCCCACTCATCCTGTGATAGCGTGCCTTCATGTTACAAAAAACAAATAAATGGTTAAACACAGCTTGGATTTGCAAAAAGATCAAGCTACAAGTATTCACTAAACTACCTAATGTATTCACAGAATAGTTCAGACAATCTGTGAAGATGTAGAACAATAATTCCAAACACAATAAACAAAGAAAAAAATGTCAAGCCTCACTCAACACCAGATTATTGATGCCTAAATCAATAGTTCAAATTTGTAATAACTGACAAGATAGGCATGTATGTTTAAGAGAGTAAGAACTCTACTCACTGTTGTCCTTGTTTCCATCACCCAAGGCACCAAGTCTCCGCATTAGCTCAGTAAATTCTGGCTTTTTGAAGTACTCATCTACGAATTCATGAAAGTTCTTGACAAAAACAAGTTCCAAGTCATACTGCAAAAGCAAATGCAAGAAAGCTGTATCAATGTTGAAACTTTATGCATTGTAGCATATTTTTAGTAGCTCTTGCACATCAGAGATAATAGTAAAACTTAGGTGGTAGTATTCCACTGCAAAATCCAAATATACAAATCAACTAGGGTTTTTGGTAGGGGAATCTTTAACCATCTCCTCTCCTATGCAATTTCAATCTTCATAAATTCATACCTCACACCCGCCGCCAYATGTCTACTGTACCCATCCATCATCCATATGAAAACAAATAGGCTGGGGTAATGAGGTAGAAGAATAGATTCTCCGGAGAGACAAATATGAAGACCAAAGAACACAAAAATCTCCTCTCCTATCTCTGCTAAACATGTAAAAGGAACCTACCCCAAAAGCAAGAACGCAAATACCAGAAAACATGTTTTGGTGAAATACATAAAGAAAAGGGACAAGAAAAAAAAATCCCAAGGTCAAAGTGTAAACCTCATCAGCCAGCAATTTGAATACATGGAAGGGGACAATGCATTCTGGACAATCAACAGCATCCTGCAGAGACACTAAAGGTTAGAAATTAATGAAGCAATTATAACAAAATGAGCAGCATAGATGGAGAAATAGTGGGATACTATTTACCATAAAATACAACCATCAGGTTACTAAAATATTAGAAGTGAAATATATTGCCAGAGTCAGATTTTTCTAACATATGGCTTAGATTGGATAATTCAAGCATGCAATGAAAAATCATTTTGAAAATCAGAAGTCAGATCCATAATCTACTAGTCAGGGCTGATTAACTAAAACACAGGATAAAAGCCATTCCAGGGGAGCAACTATAATCATTATTAGCAATAGAGTTTAGAGACAATAGAGAGTGGACAAAATACAGAAATCAACATTGTACCTCTAAGTGGAAATTGTACTTGATACCAAAGGGGTTGGAAAACCTAAACTTCTGAACCACAGAACAGTGAAGTTGCCATCAGTACATGTATATAGAAATTACAAAGATGTTCTGCGTGATGGTATAGTCACAGTACAAGATAAATCACCTTTTCAGAATATTCCTCACCAAAACGAATCCAGTACACACTATTCCCAAATGCAAGTCCTTCCACTGCATACTCACAATAAGAATGGCAATTGCTATTAAGTAGGTATTTCTCATCTGACAGACTTCAAGGTTAATATATAAATAAGAGTACGAACTAATGCATATGATCAGACAGGGGATCAATAGCAAGATTTCATGTAGCATATATTGTAGAAAGAACTATTTCAAAATCTTCAAAACAATCCAGTACAAACAGTTCCCAGATGCAAGTCTTTCCATGGTATATTCAAAAAGAATGGCAATTACTGCTCAGCAGGCACCATATACATGACAGGTTATCTAACAGGATTAAAGTTAAGGAAATAAGAGATTATTGACTAATTGCATATATGGTTAGACAGAGCAGCTCAAGCAGAAGATTTAATATAGTAAATTATACTAAGAACTATTAGAGGTTTGAACCATTGTAAACAAACTCAACCTCATAGTCTTTTTTTTTTTTTTTGAAGGATCAAATGTTTAAATAATTTGGTAGTATATTGATATTGACGTGATGGATCTCTTTAGTCCTTTTGAATACCATATTTTAACCCATTAAATGAATACTTCTTAAAATGATCCATGAACAAGCATGCTTACCTACCTGAAATGAAACAATTTCCCCTGTGGTTTTCAATTAAATAACTCTCTAAACAGAGGCATTTCCAATTGTTAAGTTACAAATGAGATCGTTTCATCATACCAAGAAATGAATACAATTTCAGGGTTTTTTTATCAATAATACAATTTCAGTTCTTACCTTGAGAAGTAGAAACCACTCCATTATTTATGATAATGTTGTGGGTTCAAGCACTACTGAAAACTGAAATTAAATTACTACATTTGTCATGGGACCAAAACAAGCTATAAGTTAAACCAATATGGTAGTAATTAATAATACCAACTGTTCCCTTACTCCAAATCATTTATTAAGCCCAAGGTTCAAAGTATCGACACGTATCGTCCGATTATCGTTTCAGGAGCTCCCCGATACGCCCCTACAGCGGGGTTCTGACCGGTTCAGGGGGTGGAGGAGCCTTAAACCGAACCCCTGAACCGATTTTGAAAAAAATAAAAAAAAAAGGAAAGACTTTCATGGCATTCGGGCGTATTGATATGCCCCTACCGGTGTATCGAGCGTATCGATATTTAGAACCTTGATTAAGCCTTAACTTTTATTATGACCTAGCCAAGACATCCACCTAAAAAAGGAAAGACTTTCATGGCATTCAGACAAATTTCAGATTTTATCATGAATTGCATTATTAAAAACAATCTTTCTACATCATCACCACTACAACATTATGGAGTTTCTTTTCAAACAAAACCAATAACTGGTATCGGAGAGAAAACCATAGATTCACTCGAGCAAAAAGAAAGCAAAACCACATTATACAATATATACATACCTTCTCTGAGCTTTTTGACAATAACATTTGCATCTGGCATTGTTCCAATAAAGATGCCTCCTGGACGAAGTAATGCCGAGACATTGGCCAATGCCCGCCGTGCACGTGTCTCCGTAGACCATGAGTAATGTAGGGCAAACTGCTAAACATTATGCGTCAGCTTATGTTTCATACAAATATTAAAAGAAAATACTATTCCCTTAGTAACTATAAGACATACTATCCCATGAACTATGAAGATCCCCTGCCAATCACATCCATACTGGTTCATGGAAGTGTTTCAAAAGGCACTGAAGGCATATGCACTCTGCCTTGTCCTTAACCTTCCTATTCCTCCTCCTCCACCCCACCCCCCCTCCTCTTCAGGAGGCTATGCCTCTTGCATTATCAATTTATCACTACACCCCATTCCTCAAGGTAGTGGAGCGCCTCATGTCACACCAACATTGCATGGAACAATATGTGCAGACAGCCTAAACTTGTAGCTTAGATCTTTAATGAATTGCACAAAAAGTTATGGACAAAAATGTAAAAAGTTTAAGGGTGATATCCATTTAAAAGAGAACAGGTGGAGGGGTTGAGTGGAATGTACTTTTAAGTAGGATATATGCCCTTTTTTTCTACATTTTTTCTTTTTTTTTGAAAGAAGCTTTATTTAGTAAGTGCAAGCAATAAGTAGTTTTAAGTAGGATGTATGTCTTTAGGCTTGGCTTTAACCAGCATAGGCTTGGTTTTAAGCAGAGTGCATTTTTAAGGACATATGTCCTTTGTTCAATTTAGTATGTGCAGCAATAAGCTCACATTTATACTTTTACTCAAGCCAATACAGAATTGTTTTGGAAAATAGTTTGGATTAGGAAATATAATTTGAGTTTTAGTAGGATTTACCAAGAATGTTGAATTGCTAACCAACATTCATGTAATGCCTCTACTATAACTAGTTGAAGCATGTCACTACAGGCAACTAAGAGATAACATACTTCTCTTAAGTTCATCTTTTTACTCTGATAAAAGGTTAAAGTTGGCTTGTGTTAATCCACTCAAAGTTTCACATTAGTAGAAATAGTGGCGCACCACTTCCTATCTATCTCTTAGGGTCTGTTGTTTGGTTCACGGTCAGGATCACATATTTTATTATTTTATTAATATTAGGGTTTATGGGTTTTTTAGTCAGGAGTTCTTTACTACTTGACAGACTCTGGAATGGGAATCCCATTCCCAAGGAGTGAGCCTGGAACGGCCATTCCCCCATACGGGGGAATCCCATTCCACCAAGAATGGGAATCGGAATCCCATTCCGACCAAACAAACGGTTGGAATCGGAATGGGGTGTTCTGATTTCGATTCCAGGCCCCTATTCCAGGGAACCAAATGGACCCTTAGTTCTTATGTTTTTATCTCTTTCCATTTTTTCCTATTTATTTATTATACACTGCTCTGGATGCTTTGGATCTGTTTTTAATTCATCCATACATTCAATGCAACCCTAGTCCATGCAGCTGTAAACCTGTAATCTAGCCCCATGAAATTATATTTATTTATTATACACTGCTCTGGATGATGCTTTGGATCTATTTTCAATTCATCCATCCATCACCGTACATTCAATGCAACCCTACCCCATGCAGCTTTGAGTCAGTAAACTAGCCCCATGAAACCATATTTATCCCCTAAGCCAACTCATGAGAAAGAAACATGCCATATTCTCGGTTTAAACACATTAATTGTTAAATCTACCTCAAATGGCCTTACGGTAGTCTRTGAAAATATCAATAAACCCATCAAAGACATCCATACTAACTCTTTTAGAGAACTTGTCAAAGATAAAATAAGTGGGAAGACCAGTTATCTGTGTTAAGTTTTTAACAAACAGGTTATAGAACCAATCCCCAAAACTTAAGGAATAGAAGAAAGAATTATTACCTAAAAGTCACTTATATCAAGTTCAAGTTGATTATATAGTTGATACCTGATAAATATGGTCAATTAATTGGATCTATAGCACCCTCTCAACATGGTAGAAAGAGTGCATTCAAGAAAACTCAATATAACTAATTGAGTTCTACACACACAAAAACAAAATAAAGATCAGTAATCCATAGAACTTTGAAGTCTGACTTAGTGATTTACAAATTTCTATGATTATATTCTTAACAAGACTCCTAGTAAATTTCAAAAATCTAATTATAGCATTCAAAGGTCACCGGCTAAATAACAAAAAGCAAATTATCAACTTCTATCTGTATAAAAGAAACAGGACAACTACTAATTTGACTTCAGAAACAAGACTTTTACAGTCTTACCAACTTTCTAGATCCTAGAATAAATTAGATAAATTAAAACCAAACAAACAAACAAAAAGTTGGACAATGACAGAGGTGATATATATATATATATTGAAGATAAATAAAGAAGAAATTTTATTAAGATATAAATAGTGATAGAGAAGATAAAGGTAATGACAAGCTGGGTCCCCCCTCTTCACAGTTCTTTGAAGCTGAATTTTGATGGAAGTAGCCAGAGCAACCCAGGTCCCTCTAGTTTGGGAGGTGTACTGAGGAATGAGACTCAAGAGGCTGTCTTACTATACTCTGGCCCTTTAGATGTTGGTAACTCTATTAGGGCAGAGCTGTTAGCTGCAATACAAGGAATAATTCTTGCAAAAGAAATGGGTGTGGAGCAACTTCTGGTTGAAGGGGACTCTAAGTCAGTGGTGAACGGGTTAAATAATCTGGAGAATGTCACGTGGGACTACAAGAAGGAGATAAAGAAATTCAAATGGCTGACAAGGAATATGTCTGTAACAGCACAGTGGGTTGGGAGATCAGCTAATGCTTTTGCTGATGTCTTAGCAAAACAAGGGACAAACAGGGAAACATTGTTCTGGGCGCAACTGTAATTTGTGTCTTTTGTAACAGTCATGTTTTTTTGATGTAGTTTTTGTGTTTTCTGTGTTTTCTGTAACGTCTCTTTTTGTTTGATATGAGATGTTTGTAGTTCAAATATATGCTGAGTTGTCGACATATACTTGGAAATATTTCGATATATTATATATTTTTTTGTTTTTTGGAACGATATGGTCGAAATATCGACCGACATATTGTATTTTTTTTAATTCATGTAAAATTTATGTCGTTGGGTCTCAACACCAACATATGTCGGGCGACATTTCCGACATTTCGCAACATTTTAAACAACCTAACAAAATCCGGCCCAGGAACCCTTTACAAACAAGCAAGGCTTACCCCACCCTTCTGAAATTGAACTAAACATTCTCTTTCTTTTACTTGACAAGCCTTCTATTCTTCTTAACCCTCTTGTTGATTCCAATCCCAAGTGAACCCCTTTTCAATCTATCAAACACCTTCAAGACTAGCACAGATCTACTTAACTTTTGTTGTCTAAATCTTTTAACCGCATCCGGATGACCTTCACTATTCTTCCTTTTTCCATTAAGATCACTAATCCTTTCAAGCTCAAATACTGCATTCTTCTCAAATACCTGTTCCGCAACCAAATCGTTTCCCTTTTGTTGCTTAGGCCTTGTTTCACTCTAGAGTCTGTCATTCTTCTCCCCAGAGGTGACTCATATATGCTGGTTTTCCTTGTCTGAGCATGTATCTATTTTGTCTGTCTTATCCTTGGTGCAAACATTATATTGATCCACCCCGTCATTGGAATGAGGCATGTATATGGTCCAGTTAGACGAGTCCTATGCACACATGACTTAGGACTTAATGAAGCTTTGATCAATTGTAACAGAAAACTGTCTTCATTGTATTCATTTTCGAGCCAAACTCAAGCTCGTCGAATATTTAATTGAGTCAAGCTCGAGCTTAATGGTATTTTAGTCGAACTCGAGCTCAACTCAATTGCACCCCTAGTCTTCAGTTGTAAGGTCCTTGATCTCTTGGATTTATACTTAAAGTCACATTCGTTTTACTTAGTTGGGTAAGTACATTTACCTAGGCAAGTGTATCCCAGATAAAACATGCCCAGGTAAGTGAGATTCCAGTGTTCTTGTACGATACAAGTTACCTGGGTAAAGAGAGCAATGGGAGGGAGAAAGCATTTATCGGCGTGCAAGTAAGTTGTTTACCCCCTTGCAAGAGGGTATCAATTACTCAAGTAACCAATACTCTATGGTATCCTCGGTAATTGTGGAACCCAATATAGCAGCAAACAAATGCAAGTATCATAGTCAACTTATTGGTTGACCAACGTACCCCCCCCACTAAATACCAGCAAACAAACGGAGCCTAAAGAGAAAAAGGCACTAGCTTCCATCTTGAACAGCACATTAAGGTCTTTTTCAAGATCAAATAATTCCTTGGTTGATTTAGTGTCTTAAAAGCGCAAGGCGCAGGGGCCAATTTGTGCCCGAAGTGCAAGGTGAGGCACACGGCTTTTTGAAGCAAGGCACAAAAATACAAAAAAAGAAAGCTAAAAATGTCAGAAAATTCAAAAAATGCCAAAAAAATAAAAAATATATATATAGTAAACATAATATTGATAAAAAATATAAACTTAAATTTTAAAATAAATGTTTTAAAAAAAAATTACCTAAAATTAAAATACATAAACATAACATGTAAAGCATATTCAAATGAAAATTTAAAAATAAAATCAAACATATAAAACATTTTCAAGCATGCAAGGTGCATCAGACGCACGCCTTTTGAAAGGGTTGCGCCTAGGACCTAGGAGAGGCGCATACCCTAAAATGTGCCTTGCTTGTGCGCCTAGGTGCACCTAAAAGTATGTTTTATGTTTGTTTGTTCCTTATCTTTATGTTGTTTTATATACCAGAAATTTATGTTCCCTATCAATTAGCTTGCTACATGGTAGGGTACTCTGTTTTCTTTTCAATAATAAAAGCATTTCTGACCATTATTGAAAAACATTCAACTCTAATATACAGTAGTTGGTAAGGCTCTACCTTCATGAAGATTGAAGATAATCTATACTATTATAAAGTGGATACTTGCCCTGGTTTTACTGCAGGTCATAAAAATTAAATTTGAAAGCATATTATTAGTGGAACACCTAACGTCATGCCTCCATGTTTAACATTTGTTCAACCCTCAATAGTATCTGGAAAAGGTGAATCAAAGGAAGAAAATGACCAAATGGAGAAGGTGGTCTTAGATGAAACGCATCAGATTAACGAAACAATAAATCTAGAAAGGGTGGTAGATATAGAGGTGGAAGTTAGTAAATCCTTGGGGCAGTGTACTTGTCTTTCTTGGGTGGGGAAGATTTTGCAAGGAATACATTAAAAAACTAGAGAAGTATCCGATGAAAGTTAATTCTGGAATTGAAGAGAAAACAAAGAAGATTACACACACCAAAATCAAACACAACAACCAAGTATCACCACAATGCTACCTAGCCACAACAAAATCAAATACACCATAACAATGATGGGAACCTGATCAATCTTTGTATCTTCCGGCCAAAACCCACGATAACTTTGTCGACCAAGCAACCAAATCACCTTTAAGAAGAAGAAAGAAAGAAAGAAGAAAAGAAAAAAAAAGAAGAAAAATAAAAAAGAAGTGAAGGAATGAGGAAAAAAGAGAAAACAAAGAAGACTTGGGGAAGAAAAGATGATGAGAAGGAGAAAGGGCAGCTAAAGAGAGAAGAAGAAGAAGAAGAAAAAGAAAAAAGAAATGGGAGAAGGAAAAGAGAAAGAAAGAAAAATTAAAAAAAAAAGGAGCAAGGAGGACAAGTTCAACTCATCATCACCACTAATTAACCCCCCACTGGAAACCAGAGACGAAACCCATAGAAGAACGCCAACCCAACCACTGCTTGATCCAACTACACCATGTGAAGAAACATTAAAAGTTAGATAAGAAAGAGGGAAAGAGATTAGAGAAACAAGAGGAAGAAGCAAGAGGTAAATGAAATTAGAGAAGCGAAAAGAAAAGTGAGGAGCAGAGAAGCGACTGAACACCTAGGGTCACTATCGAACTGCCACCGAACGCCCAAAGACGATAGGGAACCGCACCATCAACGGTGTTGTTCCCCACCGTAGCACAACCGAGCCTGAAAAAGCACCGAAGTAGAGAACCCACCAAACTCACCACCACTGCCACCAACCAGCATCAGCAGACCCTCGAGACAAAACAACAAGAGAAAAAATATTAGCATAAGAAAACCACAATGCAACCGAGACCAGAAGAAAACAGAAAAAATGGCATGCCAAATGCACCAACGGCCAACGTAGAAGAAAACGGGAAAAAAAGAACGTCCTCCTTGAATGAAGAACAACACCGACAGCTTAAAAAAAAGGGAAAATTCCCGATAAGTACCCTGTACATTAGGCTTAGTGCCAATTTAGTACCCGAACTTTAAAACGTGACAATCTAATACCCAAACTTTCAATTTGTGACAAATCAGTACCTGGCGTTAACTCACCGCCAGTCAAAATGCAAAAAGACATAATTACCCACCTGCAGGTTTGATGAATGTATGAACTATTTTTTCAAATGACGAAAATGACCCCATCTATAATCCTTTCTCTGCAAGTGGGAACCACTGTTCACCCACTCTATTACCTGAAGTTCGAAGAAAGCAGTTCCACACGCCGGTAACGTCAACTAGAATGCGACGCCGGAAAAGTTAAAATCGACGAGTGACAAACCAGACAGCTCGTACGGAGATCTGCTCCGTGTATTGTGGAAGAAATTGCAGGAAGAAATCACATCTGATAATGGTACCCCTTTTTCTAACTCAACTGTTGCCGAAGAAGACAACCCCTTGTTGCCAGTGTCGGAAGAGACGACTAGGGTAGTTTTTTTCTTTTTTCTATTATTCTCTATGCTTTTTTACTGTATTTATTGACTTCTGGTTGATTTTAATGCAAGATTTTTAGGGATTTTTTTATCAGCCTATATGAAGCTATTGCTACTGAACCTTTTGGTCCCACCATCTCTGATGCCTCCGGCAAAATTTGGTTTTTCTTAGAGGGTTCAAGGTCCAGTTGTGCAACTACTGTGTTTGGCCAAGCTGTTTCTGTCAACTTGTTGGCTGTAACTTCTGTAGAGAGCTCCAGATGAATCTGAGTAAACAAACTGATCGAATTACATAGACACAGGTGAGACCGTTATGAAGTGATGGAGAGCCTTAATTCACACTTTCTTTCCATATATACTTCATAACCATTTGTCAAAAAATCAAAATTTCCCCAATCCCCATCCATTTCTTGTTGGGCAACGTACCAATGGCCAACACTAATCAGACGAAAAGCAGAGACATTTATTGCTGGACATCCATTTCTTCCTAGACAATGTACCAATCCCCATCCAGTTCTTGCTGCACATCCATTTCTTTTCCTACATATATACTTCATAAACAGCCACCTTTCCCCTCGAAACAAATCAAATGAAAAAGAGGAAGAAAATTAGGGAAAGGGACTTTTTCAACTTGAAAAATTAGGTTCTTTTTCTCTGTATAACCACACCACCCGAAAGCGCCTTCTAGAAAATCTCATAGTCCAAATCATATTCATCCACCTTCTTCCCACCAACCCCAAGACAAATTGCCACTGCAACCTGATCCTTACCAGCAGAAAAATCAAGTTTGTCAGCCACTTTGTCAAGATCATCACTAAGAAGTGGAACACTAGCCAGAGCATCCCAAAAGTCGGCAGGCTCCTCGCCCTCATCAATGCTCAGAATTGGACCTTGCGCTCTCTCATAACAGACAACCTGACAGGCAGCCACTCTAGCACAATAGCTAATTTGTGAAATTGATTAGACGTTAGGAGTTTAAAGCTTACCACCTTCTTTGCCGTTCATTCAACCTACACGTGAACAATCTCCTCTCCTCTCCTGTCCTCTGTCATTCCTTCAAGTTGGAGTTGATCGAAGCTTACCACCTATGCGAGCAAGAGCAGGAAGTCAGAAAATTACCGTGGAGGTTGGAATCAAAGGCTACGCTTAGTACCTATGAACACTGTGCTCAAAATGAACTCGATCCTTCTTCAACCTAGATTGAAGAGAAAGGGGAAAAGGGAAAAAATAAGAGAAAAGGGTAAAATGGTCTGAAAATTATCATGGAGGTTAGTTTTGGCATTATGAAAACATTTAAGTCACACCTCACCTCACGTGATGGTTCTGACTGATGGTGAGTTAATGCCAGGTACTGATTTGTCACAAATTGAAAGTTCGGGTACTAGATTGTCACGTTTTAAAGTTCGGGTACTAAATTGGCACTAGGCCTAAAGTACAGGGTACTTATCGGGAATTTTTCCAAAAAAAACAAAAAAGCTTTGATCAACCGAAGAACAACACGAAGAGAATCAGAGAGTCAAGCAAGGTAGGTAACGATATGAGAGAGAGAGAGAGAGAGATTGATGGGTTAATGGGGTACTCGATGGGTTCAGCCTAGAGCCTAGAGCCTAGAGCCTAGAGACTAGAGCCTAGAGCCTATGATTGATGGATGATATTCTACTTGATAGGTTCAGCCTAGAGCCTATTCTGCCTAAAGCCTTTGTCCATCAAACTATTAGAGTACAAACCTTTGTCCACCATCCATCGGGCTATCATTGGCCTATTGTCCATCGGACTATTCATATTTCAGTGTTGTGCTTAGCCTTTGTCCATCGGACAATTCTCCACCGTCCACCGGACTATTCAGTCCACCGGGCTATTCAGTGTTGTGCTTAGCCTTTGTCCATCGAACTATTCTCAAACTTTGTCTTCTCGAACTCTCTCACGTGAATTCCTCTCACACGATGCAGGTTCTCGAACTCTCTCACACGAATTCCTCTGGCCCCACACACAAAGATTCCATTTCCTCAACGTAGAGGGATTGAAAGATTTCATTTCCTGAACGCATAGGACTCATTTGTACCCCATTTTGCTTTTAGTATATATATAAGATAGATCATTGAGCCACTCAATCTGATATTTATTGAAGAAGACTATCTTTCACTTCTACTATATACAATCTATTTAGTTACTTCGACACAGATAACGACTATGACAAGTCATTTACCTGGCAGCTGCATATATCAAATGGAGCATCATCTTCCAAAACCTTATCCAAGCGAACCTGAAATTCATCAACAGAACTTGCAATTACATTTAATGGTATATCATAATGAAGTACATATGGTATGAAGCATTAAAAAAATACAAAGTCAAATAATAGAAATTCTAACTCAATTATTGCATGGACATTGTGTACAGTTACAGAATGTATCTAGTATCTGCAACTGTGTATGAGGTAAGGTTGTAGCTCATTTTAATCAAGTTATGCAAACACAAAACAGGTTCAATAGCATGAAACATGTGCACCCTCAACAAAACATAAATTAAGGGTCATTAGGAAAGGAGAAGAATGTAAGAAGCATGGTTATCAACAAGTCTTTCTCATTTACATAACATAAACAAGGTCAGCAATGTTGTATCATATCTAAATTATTTTACCACAATTAGTAAAACTTCACCATTACTCAAACAAACAAATAAATAAACAAGGCTAGCAATGTTGTGTGGAGCAGAGTGTTGGGAAGTCAAGAAACATTATGTCCAATGAATGAGTGGCCGAAATGTGAATGTTGAGATGGATGAGTGGGAAAGCTAAAAAGGATAGGATCAGAAATGAACTTGTTCAAAAGAACCTAGAAACGACTCTAATAGGTAATAGAATAGGAGAAAGTAGGCTAAGATGGTTTGGTCACGTGCAGAGAAGACAATCTACAGGACCAGTGCAAAGATGATCTTTTACAAGGATCTAATATTGCTAAGGGCAGACCAAAAAGAACATGAGTTTAAGTAGCAAAAAATGATTTAAGGGCCCATAATCTGACAATGAATATGGCACAGAATAGAGAAGAATGGCAGAAAGGTTTTTTTTTTTTTTTTTGAAGAGTAAAGAAGAAAAATTTTACTAATTAAAAGGAAAGATACAACTTTAATAGGTGCCAAGGTAACACCCAACCAACTGAAGCTATGAGAACATGTTTACATTACAGGCTGGGATCCCAAGAACACACCAGAAATTTTCTCCTAGATCTGCACTGTTAAATTGAGTTGAGTCATTAACCAACCCCATATAGATGGGACAAGGCTTAGTAGAAACACTTGAACCAATTAAGTGATAGGTATTTGCAGTTACCTCAAAACAATCTCCACAGATAAGACGTGCAGGAAATGTGAACTTTTTGCGTCGTTGGTGGTGGTCTGCATCACCATTATAGCGTGTACGACAGTCTTCTATCTGTACACAATTGTTGAATAAACAAAGCTTAATTACAACAACATCTACCATCAGATATAGCCAAGCATAACTAAGATAACAAGACAGCTCTTTTGCAAATTCAAAATGTCATCAAAACCAGATTTTAGAACACCTTATAGCTTACATCGCAAATTAAAAGATTGTGAAAATTGAGGCCCTTGTGATGGGTAGACTGGAGAACGATTAGAAATTATTCTCTGGAGTGAAATTGAAGATTGGAAGGGTATCCAGTCAGCAGCCTGGATGGGCACATGTAGCAAGCCCGGGTTAAAGTTGAAATGTTGAATCTAGAAGTATATTTATAAAAACAAAAAGTAAAGTAATTTTATTCATGAAAATGTTTAACAGTACAATACAACAATCTCCCAAGAAGTGGCTCCCTAGATACACCCACCACTCTCCAAGAGAAACACAATACAAACTCAGATTTCCCACAAAGATTAACAATTCAGTAAATGAGTCATTGACAGATGGTTAAACTCCCTGGAGGAAGAGACCAAGGAACCAATCTTGCTCACAGTATTCCTGATAAGATAATTTACTTCTCTGAATTTATTATTGAAAATTCTCCTATTTTTTTCAACCCATACTACTGTCCCAATAATGGCTGCAGACACCAACTCCCAAATTAGCTTCCCTTTTTGATCAAGCTTGTTAAATGCCAGGTTTTTTTTACTTCTTTTAAAGGGCTACACAACGGGGGTAGACCATCCCCCAACCCAGGTGCAGGTGGGATTCGATCCCAAGTCTCCGCTACAACCAGCAGGAGACCTTACCAACCAGCTGGTTGGCACCTTGCAGCTTGTTAAATGCCAGGTTGACATTAGCTCCCTAACAGATCTGGGCATAAAGTTTTTTATTTTCTTATTTTTCTATGAAAAACAAAGATGAAGCCTTTACAAGTCAGCTGATATTGCCAAAGAAATCTAGAAAGGAGGGTAAATTTTAGACTCAGAGGCATGAGAGAGAGAGAAAAGAGAGGCCTCTCCGCCGGGGGGAAAGGGAATCAACCAAATAGATTCTCTTGTCAAAAATAAGCTTTGGTTGACGAGTAGATTCAGCTCTCTCTAAAATAAGCTTAAGTACCTCAAGTTATAGATAAATCTGACAAGAACTACTTTTAATTTGATCATTAGATTCTCTTGTTAATCACATTCCTTAAGAAAGGGGAAAGGAAATAATTAATAGCTTCAGTTATTCCAGATGCCAATCTTATTCCTGGAAGTGATAATCCTATCACCACATCCCAAAGCATGACCACACACCAACCACCATCACCAAAAAATAAAAAAAAAATAAAAATAAAAAAAGATACCATGACTCAAGGAGGATGGTACTAACAATTGGTTGGATCCTACAGATCCATTTTCCACATTTTTTGACAAAATATTCAGAGTTTCTTTTTTGATTGAAAAAAAAAAAAAAGAATTTCCCGAACATAGAAAGCCTGAAAATCTGTACAATCAAAAGGAAGAAAATTCAAAGGGAGAATTCTGGGTTAATCAGTGTGTTGTCTCCTTGATGTATGTGAGACTTGGGGGGGCACTTGATAACAGCTGTAGTGGCTGAACTGAAAAGTTTATTGTTTTGTCTTTTACTGAATAAGATTTTAAGGAGTCCGGGGGCTCCTTAGTGGCAGAAGCTGAAGCTGGGTAGATTATATATCCTTGAATACTTTATTATTTAGTTATTTTATCCACTAAAAGATAAAGCAACAACTCATTTAGTTCAGCAACTTCAGTTGTTATCAAATAGCCCCTTAGCCACTGATTGAACTTTTCATTCTTATTTCTTTCCTTGAGAAAAAAAATGTCTCGAGTCACTTGACTTGAAATTTTAGTCTAAACACAAAATAGCGGCCATGAGTAGCACAAGAATGACATGTTCCAGAATAAACTAATATGTGGCACCTAAAGAAACATGGAGCTATTAAAAAAACGTAAATACCACCCAAAAAACATATATGCCAACAAATGCATGAAACAGATCAAATGACTTGCTTTCACATAGTATCTTAAGTGCTAGACATTAAAATGATTAAATGCCCAATTTTCTGGAATAATGAGTAACAAACAAAAAGAGAAGAACAGAAAAGGCAACAAAGAAAGAGGATCACTTAAGCACTTTACCGATCCTTCAGCTATGTCAATACCAACATAATATCCAATCTTTGCCTTGTCCCATTTGATCAAATCACCACCCTGCCAATTACAAGAGAAATATAAATATGAAATTAACATGACATAAAAAAGGATGCTACTATTGCTTCAAGACAAAATGTAGAGATTTGATTTTTTTCCTTTCTTTTCTCCTTTTTTTTGAAGGAAATAGCAGTAACTTCCAATAAAAGGGAAACTAATGTACATGAAAGGATGTAAAGAGAAAAAAATTAAAAAAAAAAAAAACATGCTATCTGATATATAATAACTACTTAAGATTGAAACAACTGCATTGCACATACCTTCCCACAAGCAAGATCAAGAACAAAATCTCCTCTCCGAGCATAAAGATGAATTAGAACACTTTTAATCTGTTTGATCAAAAAAAAAACACTTTTAATCTGTTGGAAAGTTGGGAACAAAATTATACAAATGTGGCCAATAGGTTGAATAAGGTCATTCAGCGGAAAAGACAAATGATAAAGATCATTTTCTAATTATCAAACAGAAAAGCAAGAAAGGAAGGAAGAGGCAAATTTACACCACAAAAGCAAATGAGAGTATACCCAATTGTTGAGTTTCTTTAAATGGATTATTGGACTTGCTTCTCTCTCTTCCAAAGTCTGGTTTGTCCTTGCGCTGTAGTGATCAGCCACTTTACGTGCAAGATTCCTTGTAGTTTCATCATCCTCTAGAAACAGTGCATCACCTAGGACAATGTAAACAGAAGCATATATACACAATATGAAAATCTAAGCCTTCTAGCCATAAAAGTAAGCTCCCACATTAAACAAATCAGTACAAAAATAAAAAGAGAAAAAAATTCATAAATAACCTATAAAAATTCAAACTTAAATAAACAAGAAAATGTCCTACTAAAGATTACCTTGTGGATCAAGTTTTCTCCTTGATTGAGGTGGACCAAAAGAGGTCGAAGCAGATTCTTCATACCCCCGCTTCATTCTCAATAACAGAAAACTCCAAATAAGGACAACGGGCCCCCCTCTAATTGCAATTCTACCTGTAATGTTTGTACATTAAAGGTTTGGACACGGATGAAACTAGTAGATTAAACGTTTTTATGGATAGATATCAAAGATTATTCCAAAAGGAGAAGCTATGTCTAACTGGAAGGAGATACAATTACCTTAATTTAGTCAGATACAACTAATGCCTTGTAATGTATTAAATACCTAAACAAAATTCTTTTGGAGGGGCATAATTTGAAGGGAGATTCCAGGCTTGGCACCAGAAAAGCTACCCTCAGGCAGACAAACAGGTATAACAATTTTCTTTCATCGTTGTGTTTAAATTGTCAGCAATTGGTCCACAGCTTCTCTCCTAATGACCTTTTGGAAAATGTTAACCATACAACAACCTTATGGTTGTAGATTTTATGAACACCCTTCACATATACGCATGGTAGGTTTGCTCAACCTAACCTGGTGAAGCAGTTATTATTTAAAATTGAAATTTTAAAAAATAAACAAAAAGTAAAAGCAGAAACAGATTAAAAAACTAGAAAAACTGGGTACCCAAAATTCTTCTAGCTTTATCTCCCTCCCCAATTAGAACAAAGAGTTGATCTTGGTATTTTTGCCTTGCATATGAGAGAGAGCCTAGTTCATGAAGAATTGGTGATCTAAAATATTTGAAGAAATCCCAAACCTTGGTTCATGAAGGACCGATGATATGAAACATTTGAAGAAACTTATAACCTGTTTTTATGAAAAACTCGTAATATGAAACATTTGAAACCTAAAATTTGGTTAATGAAAAGCTCAATCTGAACATTTTAAGAAATCTGAAATCTAGTTCATGTAACCAACTGGCCCAACCCCATAAAGCTGGGACAAGCTTAGTTGACTTGAGTTAAAACCTAACTCATAAAAATTCATGAACAGAAAGACTTAAAAAGCAGAAGTTCAATTAAGGCTAATATTGTCGAAAACCCAGAATTTGACACCAAAGAAGGGTCATCCAAATCCCCAAGATTAGTAAAACGAGCTTTATTTTTCCCTTCTTTAGTGAGATTACTACAATGAAAAGATCCATGAATGTTATTTCTTTTTCTTTTTTTTCTTGTAAACTAATTTAAATGGGGTTCCTATGCTAGTGTTCCAGGGGTTTTGTTGGATAAAAGAATAGCAAAAAATATATGCAAGATTGGGCTTTTACTGTTTTACCTTTCTAGTTTTATTTTCCCTTAAATTTTTTATCTTTGGCCCTGAACAGGCCTGTCAAGCATCTATAGGAAGGTTATTTAGGATTAGCATTTGTCTAAGCTTTTTTCAGTTGATTGAGGAAGACGATAAGGTTTGCAGGCTTAAACTAAAACTGCTTTATCTTTTTTTACCTTTTTAAGGTAAATAAATTTTTCTTACCCCCCCCCAAAAAAAAATAAAAGAAAATACCTTTTACATTCTCAAGACAACACCATATATTATGGTTAAAAATTTTTGAAGTTTCTAAAACTCATTTGTACTTGGATTCAAGATTAAGACTTTCTTTAATAAACCTTGGAGGGTTTTAAAGTCACTGACGTGATACTGACTTTATCATAGCCAATAAGAAATAAAATCCATGACTGCTGTTATTCTATGATGAAGCAATGTCCAAAGATTATTTGTTTTCAAATATATGAATGTGGTAGAAGTTAATTTGTTTTTAATTAACATTATGACAGTTGCTACGTTAATGACAGGGAGATGCCATTAATCAGAATAATTAGCTCTATTTTGTATATTTAGGATCTTCCGCTCAATCTCTTATGGGTATTCCTTCTGGACTAGGTCAAAAAAAAAACGCTCATAATCAATTTCCAAGGACATCATCTTGATGTAACTTTAAAAAATAAAAATAAATAAATAAAATCAACTCCAAAAAGTTTCTCCTTCCCCTATGTTGTTTTCCTTCTGTGGTTCTCACATTTAACTACCACTGAAAAAGAGGAAAGAGACCATACTCCGGAACCGTATTTTTACCAGACGAATCAAAGTGACTACTTCCCCACAGATATGAGTATTGTGAAAAGAATATATATTATGAAATAAATACGAAAAAGGAAAAAAAAAAGGAAAACTAGAAACCTATTACCAGTAATGCTAATTAAGCTGAGAACTCGAAGCAATTCAAAACATAATATCAGGCGATACTTGAACCTTGATTAACAAACCTCTAAGGAATTAAAACAATAAAAAGGAACATTCTTGTAAGCAAGAGATAGGGAGACGCACCTTCAATTCATTTTCGACGAGACCATGTATTGCCGACCCAGATTGCCGTCCATTTACGTTCTGGGGCTAGAGCAAAGTGAGAAGATGGAACAACCCCTGGTTCCCTCCTTTCACTTTGATTGTCCGATAATATGAGGATGTGTAAACGATCTAATGCTAGCGCGATGAACTGCAAGCAAGAAAAGAGGTCCAATCGAGTGACCACCACTGTCCCGTTTTGTTCATAAGCCCTTTCTGCCGTGAGCACCTTCCGAGTTCCGAGTTGAAACTTTGGGCGGCTAAATAGCAATGGAGGGTAGAACGTACACAAAAGTGGAGTTCGGATCTGCTCCCAACAAAATCGTGACGCGCCACCTGTACTTTAACGCGAGAAAAGACATACGTGCGAAGCCCTTCCCAAGAGTGCGACTGGTTCTGTGGTTCACTTCCGATCGAGCTTGAACGCGAGATGCAAGCAGAGAGAGTCGGTTCTCTTCTACACTTGACTGTAAATCTTTGTTGTGGTTTTAGAGTTCAATAATGAGTTGAAGTAGCTGTGTTCCGTGTTCGATAATAATGGCGAGCAGCAATGTTATTCGGCTGCTGCTATCCTGCTCGTTCGTTGATAGTGAAACAACGAAGCAATTAGAAAAAGAAAAATAAATAAATAAAAGGATGAGGAAAGGAAAGAAATGGAGAAAAAAAAGGAGAGGGAAGGAGATAGAAGCGGTGGCGGTGCTCCGAGAGGTTAGGTTGCAGAAGAACACTTAAATTGGATTGGATGAGGAGAGAACGGGGAAACGATGGGGAGCAGAGCCTATTCCTTGGAGAGAGAGAGAGAGAGAGATGAGGCATAAAATTCTTCCATCCGAATTCGATCCAAAATCCGACCGGATGAATGAGAGGCCGATTCGAATTCGAATTGGATTGGATGTCTCGGAATTCATCCCAATTCGATGAATTGAAAAAAAAAAAAAGAAAATTAAAAATTGTATATCAATTCAGGGTGGCCGCGAGTCGAATTCTTGGCGATCTACTCGAGCTCTCAGTGAAAAGTTCGACTTAGGCTCGATTAATAAACGAGCCGAGTTCGATCCTAATAGAGTTCGGCTTCTGAGGCGAGTTTGAATATATATAAAAAATAATATATATAATAAAAATATTATAATTTTTAATCTTTTAACTATCAAATAAAAAAATAATTTTTATATATAATTTTTTTTATTTTTATACAACTTTTTTCTTGAATCGAGTTCAAGTTTATGAGTTTTTTATTCAAACCGAGTTTGAGCTCAATGTTCTAGCTCAAACCGAGTTCGAGCCTTGTACTATTTGGCTTGGCTCATTTCGAATCCACCCTTAATCATCTAATCACAACAAACCAAATCAAATTCATCCTCAACCTGCAAGTTGTAGCTAAACCAAATTGTAAAACTAATCTTCTCTCTAATCTCTATAGCCATGAAAATAGCCTCTTTCAGTCTCTCTATAGTGGTGAAGTCACTCCTTTCGTCCACTAGCTTCCTCGCAATTAGGTTGGTGGGTCGAATTCGGGTTGGGTCAAGACACTTGCGTTCATTTTTTGCCAGGTTGCTTTCAGGTTGGGTCGACAAAATGCTACACCATAACCCCTAATTGTTTGCCTGTTTGGGTTAGGGTCGACCCTCGGGGTCAATTTGGGTTGGGTTGRGTCAACTTTTTTCTAGGTATGCTCGTTTGGTGGATGACAGGCAACAACCTGCAAGAGAAAGAATGATAAAATAGACGACGATGATACGGTTCCCAATGACTCCTTCGAGGGGTAAAAGATCCCCTCCCCCTTGTATTATGGAAAGAATGGGACGGGGATGGGAATGGCAACGGGGATGGCGGGGACGGGGAGCCTCTCCTCATCCCCATTCCCCGTTATTTTTTATAGTGTCAACCATTTTGTTTATGCTTTTTATTTTATTTAAAAAATAATAATTAAAAATTACAATCATACTAGAAACTATTCAAATATATTGAACCAAATTTTAAAAATACCAATATTTTGGCGTATGTATAGATTTATACTACTTTAAAAAGCACGAATAGCATCAGTAATATTTCTGCAATTTTCTGAGGACAAAATTTACCCTTCCATATTTAAATTTATTGATAAAAAATGAGGGCAAAAGGGTAATCAATTATTAATATTAAATGAGTTCAAAAGAGACAATTATAAAATATTCAATGCATTCTATTTCCTCTAATTAAATCCAACACTTGAGGTATTAATTTGCATTCACCTTCATTGAATCATATATTTAAGGATATTTTATTTCTTCTCATCATCAAATCCTATTAATTAAATCCATACATAATAAATTAATAATTCCAATAACATAAAAGCATACTTTTAAAATATACCTGAAAAAAAAATAGTGTTTTCATCTAGACAATGGTAAGAAATTAAACTATTTCAGGTCAAATGAGCCAATCCATGTTGTCACAACTAAATAATAAAATTGAAAAATAGATAAAATAAAAATTTGGGAACACTTTTAACATTCTATATTCAACATATTAAACAATAATAAGTATGATAAATAAGAAATGTTTTTATTAATGATGGAAATGGAATGTAAAATTTAAAACCAATTAGAAATAAAACTATTTTCCTATTCTCTCTCATTAAATCTCATATTAAGGTATATTCTCTTATTAAATCCACATAATTAATTTTAATATTATAAAAATAAATATTTTGAAAAAAACTATTTTATTCCCTCCCAATGGTGGGTAAGCAATTAAACCATTTTGGGTCAAATGGATTAATAAATAATGTCATAATTAAATAATAAAAAATTAAATTATATAATACAAAAAATAAAAAGGATTGGACATATATCTAATATTGCATATTCACTATACGAAACAAAAATGCATATTAAATGTAAGAAGTAATTTTATTAATGATGAAAATGGAATGACAAAGTTAAAATCAACCTATAAATGAAATAATGTCATAGTTAAATAATAAAACTTTTGAAAATATAAATATAAATAATAACAAAAAATAAAAATAGAAAAAATTTAGGCACATATTTAATGTTATATATTCATAAAAAATAAATATTGGGTACATCTCTAATAATATACATTCATTATCAATGATGAAAATGTAATATAAAATTTAGTGTCAACCTAGAAATCAAATTATTTTCCTTTTTGGGTTGTGGATTAGTGGTTTGGGTCAAATGCATGAACCGATGATATGATAGTTAAATAATAAATCTTTAAAAATAACAAAGTACAAGTAATCAAAAGAATATATAAAAAATTATATATTAATTATGTCAAACAAAAATTATGTATGGTAAGTAAAAATTATTTATATAATGTAGATGATATATAATTTAAAACAAATTAGAAAGTATATCTATTTTCTTATCTAGATGATTGATCAATGATCCAACTTTTCAAAGAAACTCATGATGTCATAATTGAATAATAAATATTTAAAAAAAGATAGAACACAAACAACGAAAAAGTAAAAAATTCTATCACATTTGGGAACATTTATAATGTTATATATTCATCATAATAAATAGAAATAATTGTTAAAATAAAATTTATTTTTATTTATGTCAAAAAGTGGAATACAAAATTTAATAATAATAATAATATTTATTGTTGTTGTTGTAATTTAAATTTTCCACATGCAATGCATGTGCACATTTACTACAAGCATTTGAGTTTATTTTTAATCATATTGTTACTTTTGTTAATTTTCGATTTTTATCTTAATTATGATATCTAAAATTCAAGTAATTAATATGAAAAAAATTTCTCATGTGCTTAATTACTAGTATATACATATATAAATGTATGTGTGTGTATATATATACATACATATATATATATATATTATGTATATATTAGCAAGGATCACACGGGGCAGGGGTCGGGATCCCCGCGGGTAAGGAGTGCTCTCCCTGTCCCCACCCCATCCCTGCCATTAGGGATGAAAATTTCTCCATCATCATCCCCGCATAGGGAAACTCATCTTCATCCCCGCCCCATTTGGAGCAGATCCCCACGAGGATCAAGGGAATAGGAAAAATTGCCATCCCTAACTATGGATTCAATGACAAAGAATCTGAACTTTTTTTTGCCACAAAGGCCTCTAAACTTTTGCAGTTAGACAAAAACCTCCCTATAGTGGAATGTGTTAAATTACCAAAATACCTAGTAGAACTTTCTTTATTTTCTTTTTATTGACCTTTCTCTTAAAAAGGGAAAATTCCAGATTAATACCCTATACTTTGGGCCTATGTCACTTTGGTCCCTAAACTTTAAAACATAAACCATCACTTATGTGTATTACGTGATGACATATATAAATTAAATATTTTAAAAATAAAAACGAAACATTGTTCATCATCTTCTTCCATATAAGTAAGACAATGTTCATGTGTGTCATCTCCTCCCTTACACCCCCAAACCCCAACTTTAGGAGCCTCAACCACGCCACCATACTCCTCCAATCTAGTGGCGGAAGTCCCCAAACCCCAACTTTAGGAGCCTCTATCGTGCCACCAGACTCCTCCAATCCAGTGGCGGGGAAAACAAGCAAGGCACAAAGTACAACGTACTCTCCCTCAATAAATTCAATAGGCTCCTCTCTCTCTCTCTCTCTAAAGTGATAATTTCGCCATATATGTCCCCAGTTCAAATCTGAATTATGAACATTCATAACAGTGGCCAAGCTTCTACAAGTCTTCTCCCTCTTCAAAAGCATAACCCATTTAATTTTCTCGGTTGTTTTTCTTCTCAAACAAAGGAGAGAAGCCATTTCAGCCTTCTAGCTACTTAGTTTTCACCGTCAGATGTTTAGTATTTATTGCTTCAGGCAAAGAAAATATATTCCTTCTAAGTTGTCTGATTCAAAACATGTCGACTTATTGGGGACCCAGATTGGGTAACTTGGAGTTGGAGGAAAGTTTTTGGTCTTACAGGGGTTGAGATTGACTTCACTTGGGTTTTCCTAGTTCGATCTTGTCATCTCATCTCACTTCTCCTATATATAAAAAAATGGACAAAGAAGAAAGCTATTCGTAGGCTTATTCTCAATCATCTCGCGTATTTCTCTTATGATTCATGGCCATGTTTTACTTGAAACCTCAATTGTTGCCTATCGACGGGCTTCACAGGTCTAGATTACCCAATACACCACTATCACCAGCAATTGAAGTAACAATTTGGTGATCGGAACTCCGACGACAGTAATACCAAAATGGTGGATTACATGCTGAACAATCATCTGCCTCACCAAATGTCTTYTGGCTTCTATAGTGCCACATCTCTCGATAGATTGAGCTTCGCCGAAGTTATGCAATTCGCCGACTTTGGACCCAAATTGGCCGTGAACCAGGCCAAGCTCCAATGAGGAAAATGGGATCGACCCAGGTTATTTTCTCAAGTTTCCGGTGTTGAATGACAAACTATAGGATCAAAGCCTCTATAAATCCTCCACCGACAACAAATGAGGAAGAAAAATTCAAAGTTGATTCTGATCAGACGTTTGAATTTCACCAAGGACGTGAGAAAATATCCCCATAATTTACCTGTTGAATTTATTGAGGCAGAGATTAAATTTCACCAAGGAAACGTGAGAAAATAACCTGGGTCCATTATCAGGTATCAGCAGATTGCATAACTTGAGAACATGGATCCATTATTAGCAAATGAGGAAAATAACCTGTTGAAGAAAAAATTACTGAGGTGGAGATTAAATTTCACCAAGGAAACGTGAGAAAATAACCTGGGTCCATTATCAGCAAACGAGAAAGAAAAATTCCTTGGCTGTAATGGTGGCTGTAGTGGTAGGAGAAAGGAGGAAAACTAGTTCTGATGGTTGATCATGAAAATTAGATAATATTTGAAGGGCATTTGTGTCCTTTCATATGTCATTTAACGCCATGTAACAGTTTTGTACTAAATTGGCACATTTTGGAAGTTCAGGTACTGAGTTGACATATTTTAAAGTCCGGGGACCAAAGTACCACTAGACCCAAAGTATAAGGTTACTAAT